TGTACATATGTATCTATTTCCCTTCCTTCTTTCCTCTTTATTCTCTCATTCTCTGCAGCTCCTGTGTCCCACATATTCTGGGCGATTTAACCCCCCACTGTCGGTACCCACCCTCTTCTTCCCAGCAGATGAACTCATTGTTCTACTTCACGAACTAAAATCCCTCAGATTACACTTCACTTTCTTGTCTTCCTATCTGCTGCTTTATCTGTCTACTCCCAGTCTTTCTCTGCCCCTCCTGGGACCATGAAAGAGGAACCCTTCTCGTAATAGTGCCGACGTTCTAACTTCTCCCCTCTCCACCTTCCCAGAGGTCATCTCCCCCCTTCTGTGGTCTTTACGTCTCCCTCTCAATGTTATTTTCTCACCAATGCAATATGCTCAAGTTCCTCCCACGCTGAACGGTTCTAAGCTTCTCTCGGCACTCCAGCTGTACCTTTCCTCTAGCCAGGAACCTTTGAAAATTGACTAGCACTTGCTACATACACTTTTCATGCACTCCTTAACTCAGTAATTCTAACTTCTCACCCTTCTTCACTCTTGCCTCAACACTGTACTCATCAGTATCGCCATTCCTGATGTTGGGTTGAGACCATGGACACACTGCGGTCTTTCTCTTGCTTTGTTTTCTGTATTTCCCACCGTCACGGTCCTGTCTCTACTTACTCTACTCCACCCAAATGTCAGGTCCAAGCGTTCCACTCTGATCACCGCCTCCTGTGTCCAGGTCACTTACTTACTGCCCTGTTCTAGTAGATTACTGATTCCATCTGGACTGGATGCCAACTTTTGTCTAGGTGATTAAGAATGACCTCTAAAGAGGAGATATTTTAGTCCATGACCTGGGTAGCAGGTGGCTGCTCTATGAAGCACGGCGGAGTATTACAGACAGGGAAATCAGGTAACACACGTCTTAAGGTACAGCAAACTTGGCGTAGTCCAGAAATAGCAAGAAGGATTGTGTGTCTAGGCCCTGTGACTGGGGTAGAGAGGCCAGACACGCAGACGGGCACCGGGAGAGGTAGGAGGCAAAGGGAATGGAGGAGCAGCATGCTGACTACGGACTCAGACTCGCCAGAAGCCAGAGACCATAACCTTGCGGGAGCACCTATTCTCATGGTTGTTACTTTGGATTTAGTTTGGAACGTCTCCCACGCATCTCTTGGGATATCTAGTTGGACTTTATTTTATATATCTTTTTGTAGTTTATTTTATAAAGTGATAATTTCTAGTCTGTTCATCTGATTAAATTACTGGAGAACTAACAAGCTTGTTCTTGGGCACTAGCTCAATCATTTGAAACCGTTAAAGCTCAGTTCTCACCTAAAATTGATGTAATAGAAACACGCGCAAGGAAATGTCAGATACGTTTCAGTAACAGAAAATGTAGATGTTCTGGCTTTCAATGCGTGTTTTAAACCACAACACAGAAAATCAGCACAAACTTGAGGGGGGACAGTGGCGCTTTATCTTGTCCTGCTTCCCTGCCATAACTTAGGGTTTACAGGACAGTCGAACCTCCTGACTTGCACGACAGAGGATCAAGGCTGGCGCCTTCCGTATGGTCTGGAATGCCAAGGGAGCACGGAAAGCAGGAGATAACCCAGGAAGCCCCACCAGGAAGACAGTGTTGTCTTTCTTTTTAGTGTTTGGAAAATGCATAGATGGGGTTTTTTAAGGACACATTAGCCAGCTAGCTGGGAACTGGACCTAGGGCTGCACACATACTAAGCATGTGTTCTGAGCTACACTCCAGACCCCAAAATACTGTAATACGAACGTTTGATTACACTGGTATGTGATACTTGAATACAATTTTAAGAATAAAAAGCTCTAAGTTGATGTGATGGAAGAACTATTAGAAGAGAACTTGGGATGCCAAATCTAGTCCTGTCTTCAATTAGCTGTAGCACAGGTTCCTTCCTTCTTGCTGCTCTAACAAGTCCTTTTTAGTTAATACTCTCTTTTCTATAAAATGTACAAAGTTCCAGGCTCTCCCTGCCTAGAATACTTTGCCATGCTTCGCATAGCTGGCTACTTCTTACTGTTCAGCTCATGGACTAAATGTCTTCTCTTCAGAGGTCTCTCCGTACCACCTGCCGGAAGTCGGCATCCAGTCCAGATGGAATGAAACACCTGTTAGGGTGGGGCCCTAAGTAGGTGGTCGGAAAGGTGGGTGCGGATCCGGGTGGGACATCTGAAGAGCTTTGGGGGTAGTACGCATTGATAATGATACCGATTTGGACTGTGAGGGTGGGAGACAGTACAACAAAATTTACCCGTAAGAGAACTTTAATTGTGTCCTCTTGTTTAGGCAGAATCTTAGTCTAAAGCTTTTTTTAAATAGCTGCTTTTTAAAGAAATGTGCAGTATTTCAACGACTGTCTAGAGCAGTGGGTGCTCCTACCCACGGGCCCAGAGGTACCTGATCCCAAGACAGGTAAAGGCAAGTGCATCTTAGCAGGGAGCTGGCTGTGCAGTACGCACCAGGAATCGGTAGTGGTAGTGGCTGCATGTGAACGAGGGCCTTTCTGGACAAGGTTTTAAATAATAAGGTGCCACGTAGGTTCCATTTTCTGCACTTAGGGTGACTCCACACACCAACTGCCTTTCCAAGCTCTGTTGTTCTAACACTAAGGAGTTTTAACGTTCACCTGGTAAAAACAGTATTCATCTCAAAACTGTCTTTGCACGGACTCCCTGTAGTTTTGAATGCTGAATGGCATCTTTAAGAGGCTGTGCCTCAGTTTTCTTAGTACTCCCCAGACCACAGTGTCCTCTAATGGACTTCTTAATACACTGGCGCACTGTATAAGGGGCACAAGGAAGCTTTAGAAAGCCCTCAGCTTCTTGAGCAGGTCAGGGATTCCCTGCTCAGCAACTCATTCAGTGGCGCTTGATTCTTGAGGTAACTGCAGTTTTCTCAGTGACAAAAGGGGCCAAAGTCTAGCCATTCCTTAGGGCTCAACTAGAGTTCAGAATAGGAAAACTGCTCCTATTTTCACTGAGGATAAAGTCACTTTATTTCCAAGGTCACCGATCAAAAACAACTGCCATTTCCCAGTGGAGAGGGAAATAGCTGCCCTTAAAAAAATACCCACAGTCACAACTAACCAAGGCCTGACTTTAACATTGAGTTCTGGTTGCAGTAAAGGTAAATGCATGACACAACTAAAGGAAACACCCTTATCACAAGTAGTTGCACTACTTGTATGGGACTGCAGGAGGGCAGGGCTGTCTGGTCTTACTCACCAACAGATCCCAATCCTAGGACGCGGTACACATTCAGCCATCTGAAAGATGACCCAACTAGGTACCTTCTCTCTAATACGAAGAGTATAGGAAAACAGATACATTTATTAAGTTGAAACCTTTTTTTACTATAACATGAACGTTTTAAATGGTTATGTTTATAAACCTTGTCCATATGAAATAAAATATTCACTAAAGTGTCAAGGGCCAAGAAGATACTGAAGAAAAACCACCACAATGGTTGGAAGAATGAAAAACACTGCAGTTTCAAGTCTGCTCTGTGTACCCATTTATGTATTTTAAAATGTAACTGGAAAGGCTCAGCCATACTTGATCATGACGAGAATCACCTGATTTCTTTCTCCAAACAAATCAGGTACACAACTTCCCGGGTGGAGATTTAATGCTGTGCTGTTTGCTCGGCAGCCAACTGCCTGCTTTGTACCAAGCCGCCAGTGACTGTCAGGTGAAGTGTGATACCCAAGAGACCATGGTGTCTACCGGAAGAATCTGCTGCTGAAATCAAGGTTTATCGTGAGATGCAGCAGACAAATGTTTTACAGTTTAAAAACACAGCGCTTGCACCTGATGAAATCCAGTCATGCTTTCTGCTATCACTTCAGTAAAGTAAAACATGCACAGCCTGTTTATCCCAAACGAGAGCAACGTTCTGAGAAACGTTTCACAATGAGCAACTTCAGTAGCCAATGTAACGATCAACTTCGTTAACGTTTCACAGGAGACTTTTTATTGGTTGTCAGAAGGCAGTTAATGAGTATTTTAAGGGACAGTGTATAAACAGAACATCCGTATCTTGATTTTTACCAATGTGAAAACGCTAATTCCCCGTCAGACCAGTTCCTGGACCACAGATACACACGACAGACAAAGGGGTCGTGGAGGAAATCCAGTTCGTGACACACACCTCCGTCCGTCTCGTAGCTGCACACGGTCTGCACCTGGCCTGCACCTACGTGCACGCTGATACAAAGGCCACTGAACAGTAGCAGAGTGTCTTGATTTCATTTTCTGTTTTAGTTGAGGATTCTACTTATTTACAGAGGAGCTATCGTCTTTCCTTCTCACACTCCTTTTGTAACTGCTAATTCAGTTTATGCCACGTGTTCTTCTTCCCACAGGTTCTCTGACAAGCCTTAGGTGTCCCTCAATTCCCATTTACTTTCTGGTTGCATCCTGTCTAAGCTTATGTTACTGTAAACTAATATTTTTCAAAGATCAAAAAAATTCTACTTCATTCATTAGCTTAGGCTTAAATTTTCTTGAGATTAATCACTTATTCAAAGGGTTTTTGCCTTCATTAAAATTATACCCACAAATAAAACTATGGTATCTATAAGAATGTTTCACTTTGGTTTATCAATAAGCATTTAGGCATACCTAACTTTTCTGATAATACAAATTCAAGGATTTAAAAAAAAATTCAAGGTGTAAGTCATTTTAAAGTCCAAAATACAATTATTTTCTTAGTAAACATATAGGCAAAACCTAACAGGTAATGCCAGTTTTTAAAGAGTGCTCAGCTACAAGAAACAGGATTAATTACGAAAAGCTGGCTAGTAGTGTAGAAGTTACTAGGCTATGACACAGTTTTGAGTGGGACCTATGCAGTGCTACTTGGCTTCAAGAAAATCACCAATAAAATGGGAAATGAAGTCATAATAACTAGAGATGACGTCACAATAATTAATACTTCACTGTGCATATGCATGGATTACATTTTATTTCAGGTACTTGTATAACCGTAAAGATATTGTATTGCGAAGAAACACAGCTGGAAGTCTCGGCTTCCGCATTGTAGGAGGTTATGAAGAAAACAATGGGAACAAACCTTTTTTCATCAAATCCATTGTTGAAGGAACGCCAGCATACAAAGATGGAAGAATCAGGTAATAATAGGAATGCTTAGCAAAACTTATATTCCAATGTTTTGTTTTCTATATGTAAAAGCTTGGCCCCACTTGAAATAAGGCATGTATTTATTTTCAGGGAGCAGGGTATAAGAAACTAAAACATTTGTGTAGCATGTATCATTTAAGAAATACAAAATTACACATCCTCTTGGCCCCTTCCTACAGCTTCCTGCACTTTTAGCATCCTACTGAATTTAAAGAATTTAAGTGAGGAAAGAGAAAGTTTGTAGGTAGAAGTAATGTAATTAAAATGGACAGCTACAGCAAAAAGAGGCATCAAAATTAACATACATTAATGTCAGCTATGGATGAAGATAGTAATCATGTATCTTGACTTTTTTTAGATGTGGAGACATCCTTCTTGCTGTCAATGGGAGAAGTACATCGGGCATGATGCACACTTTCTTGACAAGGATGCTCAAAGAACTTAAAGGAAGAATTACTCTCACTATAGTTTCTTGGCCTGGCACTTTTTTATAAAATCACCAGTGGGTCTCAGAAAAACAGAAAAATCACAAATAGGCTAGAGTGAAACAATTACCTTGTCAATTTTTATAAAGGTTATTTAAAAATGTCAAGAAAAGTATGATCTAATGAAGACCAGTTACATCTCAGAGACTATTCTCAAAAAATAAAAACTATTCATGGTTTTTATTCAGTATGGAAGAATTCTCATTACTCTGCAACTTTTAAGTTTATACTTTTATATCCAATAAAAAGCCACTGAACAACCAAAAATGGTTTCTATGCCCCATTCAAATCATCGACTTACACTCAAGATCTGGTATAATGTGAGTTCTGCAGAGTCCACTATGAGAATTCTAAATGTAAAGTCAGAGGACATAAAAACTGTATTGCTGAGAAATGTTCATCAATTGAGAAATAAAATGCTTTTCAAAAATTGTACTCGTCTTTTTTGCCTTTTCTACCCTTTTTGATTCTGTTGAGTTCTCATCACCAATTAAAGGACCCTGGTAATTAATTCTTTCAAACACCAAATTATCTGTTATCATTACTGACATAAATAACTCCAAGAGTTATCCCTAAAAATAGTTGTAACTCTGTATTTTCTTAGTTTTAGTAAGAATGACTAGTCCAAAGCTCTTGTCATGACATTTACTTTTATTCACAATATAGTCAGTAACTACATAAAAACTCCACATGCTCCTCTATCAGTGTGCCTGGGAAAACACATCAAGAAAGGTCAAATGAGCTGGATCCTGGCTCAGACTTACGGCCATGAGGCAGTTCGTGTCACAGAGCTGTCCGCCTGCAACTGCACACAGGGCACTTCAGAGGTCACCCAAATGCCTTACAGACTGTACTGATTTGATATAAAAGTGCCCTACTGAGTTTTACCATGGACCCAAATTTAAAACACTGAAAATCTGCTATCAAATATTGTAGTATCAAAAATGTGTAGTTTTTTAATACATTAAACAAGAGTGCCATAGCAGTAGTAAGAAAGACCAGTTTCAATCTCGTAGCTCAGAGAGGGCGCCTGTGATGCCCTTTGCAGTGTGACTTCTTATGAGACTGGTGTTTAACAACAACAAAAAAAAAAAAACGAACAAAACCTGGCCAAGAGGTCCTTGACCTTCATCAGATCCCATGTATGTACACAGACAAACACAGCTCTCCTAAACCCCTGCTAAGTGACTCATTCACGTCACTTTCTTTGATATAAAGTTAATGCTGTTGTTTTATTTTTTAAATATTAAAAAATGAAGATTTTTTAACTTAACATGAAAAATTCACTTTTATTTTGGAAAAAAAGTTAACTTTTCATACTAATAGAACAAGATTAAAGGTACATTTCTTAAACATTATCCAGAAAAATAATGAAATTTATAGTATCTATTTCTGGTACCAGTACACACAGAAGGCAGAAGCTGCCTACTCCGCAGGTGCAGCGTCAGCACTCTCCTGCTCGGGGGCGGGCTCACTGCCGGCTTCTTTTCCTTCTTTGCTTCTTTTAGACTTTTTGTGCTTGTGTCTCCTGTGACTGTCTCCTTCTTCACTTTCATGGCGACGTCTACTATTACTGAAGAGAGAAAAACGTGTGCTGTTTCAAAATGCTGAAATATGTAACTCGTGATGAAACCCCCTGTGTACGTGATTTCCCAGTGTAACACTGTGTAAGATACCCTAACCCATTCTTTCTCTCATGCACACACTGCGGCAGTAACCAGTCTTTGTAAGACAAGACTTTTATGCATTAATACAGGAGCAACCCTGCCAGTATTATCCCAGATGACCAGAGCCCATTTACTTGATTCTGAAAGACTACACTACCAAATAGAAAGTGAAGTACTTAATCAGAAAGGAAATTCTATTTTACGGGGTTGCTTTTCCACAAACAATAGGTGTTAAAATTTAATAGCTTTTTCTTCCGGGGAGAGAGGGCACTACAAGCCCCAAACTGTTTCTTTAAAACAAACATTGCTTTGTTTAATAATATGTACTATTAAGGATTTGCTCATATACTACAATTCCCTCTCTCCCAGTGAGATAATGTAGTACACCAAAACTCCCCATATTACTTTTATTCTTTGCTAATTTGGTTTTGGGGTAGTCTTGTTAGACTGAAAAATTCACTGCTGAAGATCACGAGGAACCAGACTACGCTAATGTTGGACTGGGAACGCGTGTCCCGCTGACGTTTGGAAGCGGCTGCCTTCACTTCCTGCAGCTGAATCCGCCTCTGGCTTCAGAATGCGCGACTACCGTGTTCGAGTGCAAACCTGCGCGACGACTTGTGCCTGCTCTCCTCCTTCTCCCTGTGCCGCCTCTCCCTGTGCCGCTCTTCCTTCTCCCGACTTGCTCGGTGACGCTCATAGCCTCTCTCCGCGTACTCCCTGTATCTGTATCGCTCCTCGTCACTGCAACGGAAATGGAATACGTTTTTCTTGACCCCTGGAGTATCAAATTCTGAATGACTGCAAACCGTAAAGGAAGAGATCTTTTTCTGGTACTGGAAATCGAACTCAGGATCTTACTCTTGCCAGGTAGGCTCTGTGCTGCTGAGCTATAACCCCGGCCCAAGGAAGAGATCTTAAGTCCAAGCCTGCACATCAGCATCTGATTAGCATAAAAGGACTGTCTATTAGCATAAAAGTGAAACTGGGGCCAGGGACATAGCTCAGCGGTACAGTGCCTGCCTGGCAAGTACAAGGTCTTGAGTTCAATTCCTGGTACTACAAAAAAGTTAAACCAAGAGTCACAAATTAGTGTCAGATCTAATGAGAACACAAAGTATGTAACTACACATCATGCTACATCTGCTCTGTGCTTTCCATAATTACAGCAGAGAGATTTCATATAACAGTGCCTTATTTCTTCAAACAATGGGACCTGTAGCTGATTAAAATTAGTAATCTCATTTGCTTTTGCTCCTTTTAAATATTAAAAGCATATCTGTGTTCCTTTTAAATATTAAAAGCATATCCGTGTATCTCGAACTTCTTACCAAAATTCCTGTACTATTTGTAAAGTCTTGGACACACAGTGAAGATTTTAAAAATATATGGCTCATAGTGGCTACAGGGAAGAAAGCAGATAAAGGTTCTTAGTCCTTTGTTTATCAATTACAGAAAGAGTACATCATCTAATGGAGAGGTATAAACATAAAGAGCAGAGAGTTATCAAACCAACTTCTCCACCAGTCTCCGTAACAGAATGCAGACTGGACACACCTGCCTTCTGACATTCTGAATCATTCTCTGTGCTTCTGTGAATATGGGGCAGGGGGTGTGACACATTTAAAAACTTGAATGCATGAAAAATGCATGAATGTAAGCTGCAGCTTCTGTTCTGTGTGTTCCGCACAGACACTAACACTTCGTACGATCTAATTGTAAGTATTCTCATTTAGAATAAATACACACCTTTTAGAATGCTGTGTGCCGAAAGCTTTAGTTTCTAGAATTGTGTTTAATGCCAATTATTAGTAATTTCCATGAAGCGTCAAATGTTTAAAGGAAGTCTGAATGGGAGAACCAGCTCCCACATAAGCCACATAAAAGCACAGGTCAGCCTGTGTGCTCTTACCTAAAGGAATGATTCAATACTGCTATGCTAATGCCAAATCATACGGCTGTCCAAACTACCTATAAACTTTGAAATATTTTATGAAAACATAAAATGCTAACATATATATACACACACGTACATACACAAGCACGTGCACATCCACATCTTTTTTCCTCCCTGTAAATACAGACTTTGTACTGGGAGCTGGAAGCGCGTCATCTCAAAGGCAACCTGCCACGGCAGGCAGCCCAGGCAACAGGCAGAGTACGGACAGAGCGTGCCCAGACCACGCCCTGCTTTTGCTGCTTCTACATGAGCGACCCAGACTGTTTATTAACGCTCACTAAAGCATAGTTTTATCATCTATAAAACCAGCTATCACATTTTTCTACACAATTGATAATACTATAAAAGTGCTTGGTACAGAGTAGGTGCTCAACAACTGACTGTTCTTAGTAAATTTAATGCTTTTCAGAAACAGAATGCTTTGCGTAAACATTACTGACCCTGTCATAATTACGTGTCTCTGAGGTGATAGAAACTGCACCAGTATTACAATTAACTCCTGAAAACTGAGGTCTTTTAGAAATGACTCTAACTAGATTTACATAAAAATAATTGAAGGCCAATTACCTCATCATGTGTCACTTTTAGCCCTCGTCCCTCTTACCATAAAAGACCCTTACTAGCTTTGATGCCTTTAGACTTTAAAGGCAGCCAGTGGTGACAGATGGTGGAAGGACTGGCCCTGTACACAAAATACAAAGACATTCTTCCCTCCTTCCCTTTCCTGATAAGTGGCTGCAGCACAAGGGTTTCGGGGGCCTGGAAATCATTAGCACTCATTTCAAATGTCCTAGAATGGCCAGCCTTCTTGCGGGTCCACAATTAAGCTCCCTAAAAAGCAGATGTTACACTTAGTCTATAATTTTCAAAGCAATGACCCTGTAATTTGTAATCCAACACATACTACACACCATACTGCCTTTCAGACATTTTTGTCAAGTCTTCAGAAACAAACAGCCTTTACTTATACTTCATTTAGATTTTCCCAGAGTACAATTTTTTCCTCTAGGATAACTCAGAACACATAAAATTCCTCTGTATTTTTGCCTTCCTGGTTTTAAACTTTTAGTCAAATTTAGGTAAACATTGACTCCCAATGCTCTACAGCTCAGCAATCTGGAAAACATGATTTAACCACTTACTCTTTTAAGTTTCAGGAAAAATTCAGTAACACCTGTGCATATATGTAAATGGAAGAATCAAATAATTTAGCCTCAATTTAAAAATACTGTACATTATGGAGATGAGATGCATGAGCTCTGACAAAGCAATTTATTTAGTTGTCTTTCCCACTGTTTTGCACTAAGTTCATTACTTATAAACACATAATTCCAGAAGCAACAGTGCTATCTCAAATACACACATTTTGAAGACATTAGAAATAATTCAACTTTGTGAAAAGAAATTCTTGAATTTAACAGTCATGCACTTAAGCAACCAAAGTTAACACCAAAACCCCACACGCATCTGCTCAGGCACTCTTTCTCTCTCCCACACTCACACATACACACACATTTGGCCAATAACATTTCAGTAAGGGTCTAAGATGTATAAGTCATACTATGAGGCAACAAAGGGAGGAAAAAAGTTAATAAATTCTTTGCTGTTCCTTCTTACATCTTTTTAGTTACACTTTTAAGATAACAGTTCTAGTTGGCTTGAAAATACCATAAGCCTTACTGTATAAATGTGTAAGGACAGTGCATGAATGTTTCTGTATCTGGTATAGAACAAGAGCTAAAAATGCCAATTACATGAATGAAAGAGTCAACTGGGTTTTCTCCTAAAAAACTGACTGCGTAGAAAAGAAAAATCAGAATGAAAAGTTACACCGGTACTTTGTAACTACTTATTTTAAAACTATAAAGGATTTTAAATAATATTTCAACAACCATATTTCCGCGAGATATTATACCTCTATTATTACCTTAACTTCTCTGTGCTTCTATTTCCTCACTTGATGTGTCAAGGTTTAGACTAAATAATCTCTCAGGATTTTTTGGGTCAAGAAGTGATCTTGATCTTGATCACATAACCACATTTAATAAGATCAAATGCTACTTTAATCAGGGATATGCTCAATCATATAGTATATGATCAAACCAGCAAAATTAATAAAGAAAAACTGCATGTAGAGGGTGTGGTGACTGCAATCCCAGGACTCAGAGGGCTAAGCCTGGGCTACACCGTAAGTTCAAGTCCACCACGAACTACATAGTGAGACCCTGCCTCAAAATAAGACAAAACAAAACCTCTGTGTAACCCAGTATCTCTCATTACTTTACTCATAAAAAGAAGTGATACAAAAATAGTTGTATATCACTTACTTCGCTCCACACTGTGATGGCACCTAGACCGGACTACATGTAATACTCTGGGTGTGACAATGGTTGGTTTTCATTCATTTCAAAAATCTGTTTAGATGACATTAATAGTTTTACTAACAATTTTCAAAACTGGTTTGCTATACTGTATTATAAGTCACTGTTCATTGCACATTCACAGGGCATTATTCAAACTGCAAAGGACAGAGAAAAGAAAACTAGTAGTCAAGCTTTTTTCTCAAGAAGCATAATAAAGAGATGCTTGTGAAGGAAAGAATTAGTTTTGTGTTTATGGTTCACTGCAACTCAGATATGATGAAGATATAAACTGGATGCTGAAAGAATGAACAGACGCTTGTGAGGCTGAGAAGAGAGACAACACAAACAACGGGGGTGCGGCTCTGAGTGCGGGGTACCTACCGGCTCAGGAGCGAAGTGGCTTTAGCAGAAACAAGCACAGGGACGGGGATGTAACTCCGCACAGAGCACGTGCCTAGGACACACTCCTGTCAGACTGCAAAACGGCTTCGGTGTAACCGGATTTCTGATACTTATTACAGTGGATATGCTAATACCCCACGCAGTACATGAATGCTTTCCAGTGGAAAGGCTTCAGAGAATCGATTTCTAGATCTTCAATTTCCATATTTATTCCTCCCTAAAGATTTATATACCTGCAGGTAAAGCATCACACCACTTCTCCAGTTCATCTCTCCTCTCATAGTAATATACTCATCCTTTTTTTAAGAGGATGTTACTGTGATACATTTTTTCAGGTAAACCACCATGACTTAAAAGGAGTGAATTTAAAATATTAGTCTCATTATTAAGACAGATTTGAGGAACCATAAGGCTTCCGTAGGGCTTCGTGTCTTACACACGAAATGCGAGTGTTCTGGTTTATGTCCTAAGCTGTTCTAAACTCAGATACACTATAGAACAGTGAAGCACCAGGGATAACAATTTCCCCTGAACTAGTTTTGAAAAGAAACTTCAAGGAGGGCCCTGTGAAAGCAATGCAAACCCGTGACAGGAAGTCAGCACCATATTGACAGCTCTGAGACAATTCTCTTTATACTAGAGATAAAGTCAGACTCTGTTCTGATAGAAACAACGTGTGTCTTAATTGTCTGTCTTGACAGTGAGAAAACCTTTTACCAATTAAGGTACACGGTACCTATCTTCCATATAGAATGAAGGAAATTTGCACTTCCAAGGTCTACATGAAAATTCTTTCATACATATAAAGTTGTTTCTAAGCTTTAAAAATATATTTTAGCAAGTATGCATTAAAATTAACAGTATCTGCTTTTCTTGGTCCTGCCTAGTCATGTTGAACAAGTTAAACTGGCACTAAATGCAAGAGTAGCGAGTATAATTTAACAGTCTTTTCATGTCTTGGTAAAGCACTAGTGGTATTCTTCTAACAAAGTGAGAAAACTGGGCCGGGGATATAGCTCAGCAGCACAAGTGCCTGCCTGGCAAGTGCGAGGTCCTGAGTTTGATTCCCGGCACCAAAAAAGAAAAAGAAAGTAAGAAAACGGAAGACTTTAAAATTACTAAATGAATGGGGTTGAATTATATCTCCCAGAGGGACATTTCAAACCCTAACCCCTGGATCCTGTGAACGTGACCTTGTTTAGAAACAGGACTTTTGCACATGCAAGTTAAGATGAAGTCACACTGGGTTTAGCAGGGCCTAATTTATGTGAATAGGTTTTCTCAGGGTCCACATACATATATAAATACACACACGCATATTGCTTTAAAGAAACTAATCAGGGCCAGGCATATAGCTCAGCAGGGCACTGCCTGCCTGGCAGTACCTTCCTGAGTTCGATTCCTGGTACCGGAAGAAAAAAAAAATAGAAAAGAAAAAGAAAAAGTAATTAATAACAACCTCTATTTGGCTGGGGATTTAGCTCAGCGGCAAAGCGCCTGCCTGGCAAGCGCAAGGTCGTGAGTTCGGTTCCCGGTACTGGAGAAAAACCAAAGAAAAAAAAAAAAAAGGATTCCAACAACCTCTATTTTTCTGTAACAATACATGTTATAAAATCTATGTCTACATATATTAATTAGGGATGAGAACAAAGTACATCACAGTAAAAGATGCAGTTTCATTACATTATTTTCAAAAATTTCAAAATATTTGTCCATAAAAAATAAATGGTAACTACAATCCGATGAAATTTTGAAAAAAATTTAAGATATTTCTGGCCATAAACCAAAATTGTCAACATTTTAATACATAAATATATGTTGCAGTAAAAACTGATAGGATAATCAGTTTACTTAATTAGGCAGTGCTGGGGATCAATCCCAGGGTTTTGTACAAACTAGACAAGCACTTTACTACCAAGCCTCCTCATTCCCTGGGATTTATCATATTATAGTAAAATTCTTCAGGTGAAGTGGCACAGAAACAAAAACTTAAGCACGAAAAGAAATGAAAACTTTCCAGCTGTTAAAGACAGCCAATTAGTGCTTTTTAATAAAATGGATGATGGTTTTAGAACGTTGTAATATCTCCAATCCATCAGGCATATTTGAAAGTGATAATCTGACTTTTAAATATAAGGATTTATAATACATTGCAAATTATACTGTCAACTATTGAAGCTTGATGCAAAAAAAAAGTTTGTATGACAAGATTAAAATTTGTGAGGGGCTATAAGAATCATTTAAGGGGTACGTGAATAAACAAATTTGAAAACTGTTTCTTTCATAATGGGAAGCCTCTTGCAAACAAAAACTTCCTCACATCAAATAAAAACGTGTAAGTGTAAATGAAATACTTGTGCACAAGCTCCTGCAATACTGACAAACCTGTTGAAAACACTTGGCGTGGGACTGTGATCGCGCTCCCTCTCTCTCTCCCTGGTGCGTTCTCTTTCTCTGTCCCGATCCCGATCCCGATCCCGATCTCGCTCTCTGTCTCGGTCTCGGTCTTTCTCTCTTCTTGCATAGTAGTCCCACTGCTTGGTGGTGTCCACAAGACTTGGCCATGAAGGAGCAGAACCAGTAAGATGAGGAAAGGCAACTGAAGGGAAAAGTAATAACCATTAAAAACAAAGGTTACAGTACCTGAAAAACAAAAATGCAAAACATAAATATAAAAAGCCCTCCAAAGATGTCATTAGATTACAATAGAAATTTATTTGGTAAACAGAAAACTGAAATATCACATAGTAAGTACCCATAACGCTGCGGGAAGATCCGGCAACAAAACTCAAAGACCTAGTAAGTCTTAAAGAACCTTCATTTAACAAGGTGAACAGGAATCAAAAATCAGACCACAAACTTCCCAATGTCAAAAAGAAAAACCAGAATACATTGGGATGTCTTCAAAGTGTGGAAAGAAAATTATCAACCTAGAAAAATATACCCCCAAAGTATTTTAAGAATAAGATGAAGTCATATATAAATAAAAAGGGCAAAAACATAACCAATAGGCTTTCCCACAGAAGATATACTATTAGATATCTCTGGGAAAAAAAGGAAACTAGCCTATATAGAAGATCCAAATGGATGGAGAAAAAAAAAAAAAGACCTAACATGAAAAGAATGGATGGTCTGATAACACGGTAATTACATATGCAAATCCAAACAAATACTCTAATAGCAAAGGTTTTTTAAAGAATAAAATTAATGAATCACAATAGAATACAACAGAATAGAGGAGAAAGACTAAACTGTTCTAAATTCTCTGTATTGATGAAGGTTCAGATATTATTTACTATACATTGATATATATCATAATAAAATTTAAGAGTAACCACTAAAAATAGAAAAAAAATGTAGAATTCAAAAGAGTACAGAAGAAAATTCAGTCAATTAAAAATGACTTAAAAAGGATGGGAGTGAGAAGCCAAATTCCAATAGGTCAATTATAAAAGGGATTCAGTTGATCAGTTAAGACAAAGATGGTTGATTTTTACTTGTAAAAATGTCTGTGTTCTGAAGATATGAAAACACAGGTTGAAAGGAAAAGGATGGAAAGGGAGAAAAGAAAACAGTAATATTCCCAAAGTCTCCGTATGAGTAGCTGTATTAACGACAAAGTAGATTCATACAAAGAGCATTCACTAGGAAAGAAAAGATGATACTGACCCAGAATGGAAGAGAGAATTCACCAAAAGCGGAGAACTGAGACCCTGGGCATCTAACAGCAGCACCTTCAATTTCAGAGTGGACACTGCTGAGAACAGGCAAACAGGAAACCCCACCAGTCACGGCAGATCCTACTCTCAGTCTCTAACAGATTAAGTAAGCAGACAAAAAGAGCCCAGTACAGATGTAAGTTTTGAAATTCACTGCTAACAAGATTAAGTGAGTATAACATGAAATACCGCCCATAGCAGAAAGTACTTATTCTTCTTAAGCTACTACAAAACTTTCAAAAAATATATATATACTTGAAAGGAATAGGTATGACAGACATCATGCTCTCTAAATTTCATGTATTTCACATATTTAATGTTAGAAGTCGAATTTAAAGGTTACAGAAAAATCACCTCTATTCACTTCAAATTAAAAACACATTTCTGGTAAGCCATGGGTCCAAAAAATCATAAATTTAAATCACTCAGAACCAAGCATCAGATATTATGACATATCTAAAGTTGAGGCATGTTAAGTATTCTGGAGAGAAACACAGTCTTATAATACTATACTGGAAATGACTGAAAATTAACGGCTTGCAACGTAAGAACTTGATATCAAAACCAAAAAGGGACCACAACTGGACACTACAAAGATTAAACAATAAAGAAAATATTATACACTTTGTACCACTGTACTTTAAAACTTAGCTGAAATGGGTGAATTCCTACAAAAACTAAAACTTTATCAAACAAGTGTCTCAAGAATTCAATAATCTCATAACTGTAAAAGACATTAACTCTGTAACTTAAAATCTTCCCACAAGGCCAGGTGACTTTTACAAGTCAGTTCTAATATTTTATAAATAACAGATCATTTCAGTATTACCCAAACTTCTGGAAAACAGAATAGTTAACTTCTTAAGTATACTATGTGATTCAGATCCCAAAACCAGTATACAAGACAGTACAAATAAAGGGAAATCATAGGCCAAACTTACATATAAACTTAAATGTCAAAAGCCTAAATAAACATTAGCCAACAATTACAAAGGTAGGTTATTCTCAGCAATAACAGTATCATAATAACAGAAAAATGTAGAAATTTCATTTTTCACATCAAAAGAATAGAGACAAAAACAAATTATAATAATCTCTAAAAGCACCTGATAAAACTCAGTATCGATTCACAGCTGTCCTTGGAAAAGAACACTGGGAGAGAAAATGGAATTTCTTTAATCTAATGTATGGTTCTTTAACACCTAATAGGGAAAATCTACAAGTATCTCCATCCAAAGAGAAAAAGGAAGATGGCCAGGCTTCCGCTTCCACTATTTCGACAAAGAAAACAAAAAGCAAAAAAAGAGAAGGGCTTGAGGAAAGCAAAAATCTGGAAAGAAAGGAGCAAGGCTCCCTGAAGGTAACGCTGCCTGAACAGAACAACACAGTGAGAGCTCAGCAAGGTGAACAGCCACAGAGCGACATAAAAACAGAACAAGCCCTAGTTCTAAGTACAAGAAGTACCAACAGAACGTGTAGTTCAAGTGTTTAAATGAATATACCATTTATAACAGAAACAAAACTGTATGAGATACCTAAGCCCCAAATCTAACAGGAAGACAGGCAAGCAGCATATGGAAGTAATTACAGTAGTTTACTAAAACACATAAAAAAAAAGTCTCTATAGAAGAAGACACAGTCCACGTGCACTGAAAGCCTCTATTCTTCAGGTATGAGTTCCCCAAAAATACTGATCTAGAGTATCCCTGCAATTCCAGTGTGATGGAACAGCCTCTGGAACCCAGTCTGCGCGGACTGCAATCCTGACGGCTACTCATTGTGTGGCACTGGAGAGATTTCAGTTGGTTACCCAATTTCCTCATGTCCATAAATGGAGACAACGGCAGTACATCTACTTTAAAAGGCTGCCAGGACTGTAAGAGTACGCAAGCAAATCTACTGTTCTTTGTTGAAGATGGCATATAGGGAGTTGTCCCCAACCAGTTCTCCGAGAACTACCTGTTTCCTGAGTACCCCTCTAGTCACAGGAGGTACATGCACATGTTAATAAATTTGTTTTTGTCATATTAGTCTGTGTTTTGTTAACCTGGTCCATCCAACGAACTATACAGAGAAGAAATTATTTTTCATTCCCTTACATGTTCAACTGCTTCTAAACTGCTCTTTCCCCCACCCCAAGAAAACAGCACCGCCGTCCTTCGTACACATCTACAGTTTCCTTAAACGGGAGAACACAGCTTCTTCAAAAGTACATCTAGTAACTTCACAACTCAGCATAAAACTGGCTCCTGACAGCTCTCTGAACAAGGCCCAGACTCCACAGCGCAGCTAAGAGGCGCATCCGGTTTTACTGTACTCCACTTTACTATGCTTCAAAGGTAACTCTTTTTTAAATAAACTGAAGTTTTATGGCAGCCTCGTGTCAAGCAAGCACAATTTTCCCAACAACATGTGCTTACCTGGTGTCTCTGTGTCACGTTTTTATAATTCTCACAGTATTTTAAGTTTTCCATTATTATTATATCTCTTATGGTGCTCTGTGACCAGTGGTCTTTGATGTTACTTTGTAGTTATTTTGGAATGCCGCCAACTATGCCTGATATTATAAAATGGGAAGCTTAACTGATAAACCTACATGCCTGTGTGCTCTACCAATGACCTTGCTGTCTTGCTCCTTCCTCCTCAGACCTCCCTATTTCCTGGAATACAACACTGAAATGACACAAACAGGAACCGTAAATGGCCTTGTAAGTATTCCAGCAAAGGGGAGACTCACACAATGAAAGCGTCACCAGAAGTCCTCAGAATAAATAAAGGTGCTAAAAGTGAACACGAAAGAAGGACCACAAATGAGTCGGAAGGAAGATCCAACCAGGGCAGGGAAAACAAAGCAGGTTAGTTGGGTTCCAGGATTCATATGCACAGTGAAGACTGAGACAAACTGGTGACAAATCCCACACCTTTTCAGGAAAAAGGTGTAAGTATCTGCTGTGCCATTTATTAATTTTAAAAGTATAAATATTATAAATGATAATTCTGTTAAGTAACTGACACATATATAAACCCTCTGACTCTTTCAGTTAATATCTTTAATTACTCTACAAGCGTTACTTGAAACCATGTTCTTCTCATTCCAAAAGCAGTTAAGTACTTTAATGAATGAATCTAGGCAACTAATTATGAATCTGAATCTTGGTAACTAGGAACTCACCATTGCCGTATGGAAATGCACGTGCAGAACGACTATCATAACCAGAGGAATGTCCACTGTTGAAGAGAAAAATGTATTTATGTGTCTGTTGCAAATACATTTTTAAATTTTAATCATTTGCTACAGATGGAAAAATAGCAAGGCAAAATTATAACTTTTTTCATTTGTTTGAGATGGAGGCTCACTATGTCACCCAGGAGAGGCTCAATCTCCTGGGCTTAAGCAATCCTTATGTACTCCCTGAGTACACAAGACTACAGGTACATACTCCGGAGCCCAGCAAAACTGTAACTTTTATTCAACCACCATTTAATGATAAGCCTCACTCTGTAATTTTATTTTTAAATACAAAATCACAGGATTTCTTAACCTCAAAAGTATTAAACATAACACCTAATTTTAAAGAAAAATATAACTTATTAGTATTACTTACCATGAATAATAAACTCAAGGGAACTTGGTTTACAGTGAGATAACAAAGAAACGTTGAGGCTAACAGAATACTTGAAATCTTAAAATTAATTTTTAAAAGTCTGGCTGTAATAATTATAAACTGGTAATTCAGCTCCACTGATAGGATCATCAAATAATATTTTTAACATTTCAAGAAATAAATGTGCTTAACAAGGACTTGATAAAACCAAATCCTTGTAGACTGTATGGGTAGTTTGATGCTACTAAGTTCTCACAATTTTCCTTTTATATAACTTGAGTACTTTCATAGTTTTTTAGAGTATACTTATCACGTAAATGGAAGCAGCAGGAACTGCCACGGATTAGTGGCCTCTGTCTGCCAAGACCTGTGCTGGTACTTTCCATCACCCGCTATTCTAATCTTCACCACTTCAACAACCCCCGTGTTGTAGAAGGAAACTGAGTCTCAAAGCGGTTCTGAGCTGTGCCGAGCAGCACCACGACTGAAACCCTACGCTTTCAAACACAGCACCGCCACCCACAAGAGCAATACTCTTCAGCACGGCATCCTCGCCAACATAAACCGTAAGCAGCAGTACAAAAGTACTGCAGAGTGGGTCCAACTCTCGCCTGTGAAAGCTGAGCCGCAGCAGGGTAGCAAGGATTTTTTTTTAACTAGGGTCCAACAGCAGTTGTTCTTATGAGGAACATGTATTATGCATGATTTCCATACATATTATTCATGATAATGAATAAACATAGGTTATAATGATAAACATAATGATAAAGAAACATGTATTATTCCTGATTTCCAGTAAATCATGTAATTTCCCAGAAAACTGACTCTTGTCAAGATTTTAACAATCTAGAGATTTTTTTAAACCAGTGTGACAAGTAGAAAGCAAGATACTATTTCAAAATATTATGATTTCATTTTCTTTGCCCTGTTATGATATCAGGCTATGTAAGTCAAACCTGTTAAATAAAAGCAATGAACAGATTAGATTTATGAATTAAAAGGTAGGTGTCATGTTTATAAAATTAAATCTCTGAATTACATATCTTTCTGTCAAGGAACTATCAATGATCAAAATCTCACAGAATTGGTGCTGATTTACCTTTCTATTGTCGGTATAAGAGATGGCGGTGGGGCACCTGGTGGAGGAGGAAAACCTGAAACATTGAATCATAAGACAAAAACATTAACTGGAATCTGCACTGAATGTCCTAAGTGAAACGAAGTTGCTGCATATCACTAAATTTCTCTGAGGACATAAACGTGCTTCTCTATGTTATAATGGACAGAAAAAAAAAATGAAAAACTTACAAACAGATTTTTGGAGCAATAAAGATTTTAATGAACATTCTGGCCTAACACGAAGAACACAAACGGGAAGCAGTCAGGACACCTGGTCTTATTTTCAGCACCACACACAGCCCATTTTGCGAGTATGAAAGAGTTAGTCTCAGTGCCTTACCTTTTCCTTATAAAAAACAGCGGTAGGATTGCCACCAGATATGCTTTACTTGAAATATTTTAGAAGAAAAGCAGACAAAGAACCATTTACCTCTTTTTAAAAATATTTTGGATTTTAGATGTATCGAAATCTCCTTAAAATGTGTAATTTAAAAATAAAATTTTACCAGTAAATACATAAATACTCAAAGCTGAGAACACCTGCCATAAAATACATTTTAAATAGCACAACCCCAATGAACTACTTTACAAAGAAAGACATACATGGAATTTTGGATTAGTTTGAAGGAAAATAAATCTGCACCTTTTTACCATGAGATCTGCATTGTTGATAATTTGTAATACCTAAATGACATACCGCAGACTATGGCTAAAAGGGATCTTATCTAACCTACCCTGCACTTTCAAATTCAGATAGGCAATACGGTATTCCAGCAAAAGACTTTAGAGAGTCCACACCTCCTATGATACCAACTCCTTCTACGTTTTTAACCCTCACTATGAGGAAGTGCGTTAAATTATGTAACCTGCGCCCCTCACACAATTCATATGCTGTCCCAACAGTTCTCCGTCGTCGTATTCTCTACTGCTGGCCACAGATTTGAAATCTCTTCCATTAAGCCGCCTTTTTTAGCATTCTATGTAAAACTGAGTCCAAGTTCCCTAGCTCTTCTCAAAGTTCCTTTTAAATAAATGTTTAACCCTGTTTCAAACTATTTCAAGTTTACCGTGCTCTTTATTGAACCCTACTGTAGGACCTGTAACTCCTCTATCAAACAGCAATACAAGCAGAAAATTTACCAGTTACTACATTAGTCCCAAAGTCCACAATCCTATGTTATATAGCTTCACAACCACATTGCTTTTTAAATTAGAAAAATACACCAATTCCTTTCACTTTCCCTGAGAAGTCTCTTGCAGCCGCATTCACACGCAGTCCAGGACTCTTATCACCGTGCGCGGGTACGTACACTGCACTGTGCAGTTTAAACTCCCCTATTTCTGTTCATCCCGGGCATTTTGAATTTAGACCCACCCTTCCGAGCATCTCCACTTTTCTCTTTACACCCCTGGCTTTTAATACTGAACTCAGTAAACACACTTGCCAATACAGTTTGCTATCACACAATAAAAAGAAACAACTGACAAAAATGTAAAAACCAAAACTAGGCCACACACAAACTCCTACTATCACGCCATTGCAACAACCAACAGTTTATAACAACTCTAAGAACAACCATCAGGTCACTCACTGATTTATCCAATTGCTGTGGCGTTAAGAACATATTATCTCATGACACTGACTCATGCTGGCTGGATTTAAAAAAGTTTTTAAAAACATGATAAAAGTTAAGGTAAACTACTTTTCTCTTTTAGTATCCTTTACCATATAAAAAATTCATTGGTCTGAAAAACTGTTTTTATAAAAAATTATTTTACATTCCATTCTCTTTTCTTCACAAATTGGTAAAGTGAGAATTTTCTCAGAATCTCTATTTCCACAGAAATGGGTAAGACAGGTACGAGAGAACTAAGTATCTTAAAACTGAAATGAAGCAACGGCAGAGCTGAAAATAGGACCTTGAAATCCCAAAGCCTAGTTGATTCTAACCACATCAACACTGACCCTCCTGTAACTATGAGCTTGAAATTTCATGTTCATTAACAATGATGGAGAAAACATGAAAAAAGTTTTACCTGGAGGTGGTACAGTTATTGGGATACCTAAAAAACAAGTGATGAAATTTAATATAGTAACTGGATTTCAGAACCTGTTATGTATTTATGCCATCACCAAGACGAACTGTGAAATAAAGCCCCTTGCCTCAGTACCCTGGCTCAGTCACTCAAAAGAGAAGCATTCCGTTTTCTTGCAGACCAACAATTCAAATGTAACATCCAACTTCCCTGATGAAAACCCAGTCAACAACTTGGTAACACAATTTCCCCCACTAGCTGTAATCACAAACGAAGTTAGACAGCAGTTAAAAAGCACACTTGTGCACACGTATCAACTCCTAGCATTAAAGCTAACTCAGGGGCTGGGGATTTAGCTCAGCGGCAAAAGCACCTGCCTGGCAAGCGCAAGGTCGTGAGTTCGGTTCCTGGTACCGGAGAAAAAAACCCCAAAAAATAAAAAAAATAAAAAATAAAGCTAACTCAATTTCCCAGTCAACGCCTGATCGTGTTTTCTTAGTATTGTAATAGGGAAACGGATCTGTGGGTTCTTTAGTACTGCAGGTAGTATGAAATAACTGAGGATTATGGAATTATTCATTTTTGTAAAGCCCAGTGTGGGCCATTCAAATATTAAGGTTGTTTGATTACTGTTAGCAGGAGTAGGGAAATATTTAATATTTTTCTTCACTTGTAGGAGTGGAAGAAGGGGGTATACCAAATTCATACACATACACCCCCAGGGCACACTAACATAAATATGGATTACTTATTTCTACAAGTGCCGGCAAATACTAATTTATTTGCACACATTATAAACTTTAAGAAACAATTTTATATAAACATTGTTAATTTTCATTGGCCAAATGTGCCTTTAAATTTATTTACTAGAACTAAAATTAAAGGCTGTATTTTAAATTTAAAAGACACATGAACGGCAAATTATGTAACACACAGATTGTAACTACTTTCAGTTAAATTTAAAACAACTTTCTCAGGGGCTGGGGATTTAGCTCAGCGGCAAAAGCGCCTGCCTGGCAAGCGCAAGGTCGTGAGTTCGGTTCCCGGTACCGGAGAAAAACCAAAACTAAAACAACTTTCTCATGAAAAATCATATACCATAAATAAGTTCAACACAGTTGGAGTAGAAAGTTCTGTCTTTAAAACTGTATCAAAATTAGTAGAAAGGAGGGGGAAATTTTAACTCATTAGCTAAATACATGCAAAAAATGGGAATAATCACTTTCAAATGTTTTCTTGACAGTGGAAAATGCTTTAGTTTAAAATGTTCTGACATACATGTTTTATCAGAGGAAGAGGTTTACATAGAGAGCAGGTCACCTTAACATTTAACCATGTGATGTAAGCATCAATGCAACAAAGGATACCCTAAGCTTACAAACCCAACAAAACTAAAAAAAAAAATGTAAAGCAGCCAGCACATTTCAAAAAGTATTAGGATTCCACACATCTGCCCACCTCATCCACAATTATGGCAATTCTCATCCATCCTGAGGTTAACTTGCTGCTTCCGAACTCACTAGTGGAGTCCAGCAGGCAAGACAAGCTAACAGAGACCCAGACTCCAAACTAAAAAGGGAAATGAAGGAAGGCAGAGCATTAAATGTTTTTAATACACGTTATTACCTAGTTTTCTTTAGAAGGGTAGAATTTTTAGAACACTGAACTTCACTTTTTGATCCGATTTTCAGATACTGAAACTACTGAACTTCACTTTTTGATCTGATTTTCAAATTTAAATACATGATTTCAATTTCTCTTGTATGTTAACATTACACCAAAATCAGTCACCATGATACTATAATCCAAGTAAGTCTATGTAAATGAAGACGTGAGCAGCTTACATCACTGCAGCTAATTCGACTGACAGCTTACCAAAAAGTAAAGTCATGCAAAAAACCCACAAAAACCGAAGAATTACTAGCCCCTTCAAAAATATTTAAACTATAAAACACAAAATAAAGATAAAAGATACATTCAAATTAAATATGCAACAATGGTAGTTAAAATTAGCCTGCCTCTAATTTTAATCTTACTATAGTATCATAGGGCAGATTTTTAAAAATCCACTAGAAGATTACAAATACAGGCAAAGAAAAATGCCCCCATGTATAGATGTCTTTCCAATCAATATCCACACAACAAAAAGCTAGCGTGGGAACTACCAAGGGCTCTTCTGGTGAAACCTCTACTTCATCTAAGATTTTATTTTAGTGTCAATCGTTGTTGGTAAATGTTCATTAGAACAGGACTGTAAAGTTGAAGAAGCATTATACAACCAATTCCCTGACAATTATCAAGAACATTTTCAAACTGCAACTGAGAAAGTTCAATATGTGATACAATGTAAAGACAGTAACACTGTAAGTAGGAAATACGATCTTTTCCTAGAAAGCCATACCTAACAGTAGTAAAACTAAGATTTCTAGTGGTGGCAAAAATTTTTTAGGAAAGCAATATTTGAACTCTAATGGGCTGAATAGATTACATAGTGAAACTTGAGCCTGCATGAAAATAACATGGAGAATTGAAGTAAAAATTGCAAGTCTGTTTACTTAGAATTTCCAATTCAGTAGGTCTACGGTAGAGCCACAGAATTTACATTCTCACAAATCTCCCAGGATATGACATGTTGCTGGCTTGGGACAATACTTAAAGAATCCCTGGATTAGATTCTAAACTTCTCTCCTAACTTCACTACCACAGAGCTCAACAGAGATTAAATAAATGTTCTTCCCAATATTTAGCAAATGAAAGTATCTGCGTATCACACTGAAGAGTAAAACAGTGTAAGAACATATAGCATCTGGCACTCTCAAAGAGAAGGGGAGAGAAAATTTAGTTCTCCCAGTATATAAAGGAGTATGTATGCATGTACTCCTAAAGGTGAAAAAGACTGGGTGAGGGGAGATCAGAAATTCTACTTGGGGAATGGTGGTAAATTACCAGAAAGTCAGAAATCCTGCTAAAAACGGTATTTAAAAATTTGCATGTATTAGAAATTTCCTCCCATAAAGTAAATTAGTGGTCTCTGCGGTCACAAAAAAACTGAACAAAGATCATCTATAAACTCATTTTTCATGTATCCATCATGCATTTGTATAAGGAAGGCAAAAAGAAGTGATAGGCAACTTCTGGCACGCTCTCAATGATCTCTGCATCCTGCTATGTGAGCATTTGTACACCTCTGCTGTTTATGTCCTCTGAGTGTGGGCTGGGCGTGATATTTGCTTATAACACATAAAACACAGCAAAAATGATAGGATCTCACTTACATGACAAGGCTACAAAAGACAGTGCCTTCTACTTGGCTGGTACCCTTTCTAGTGCCCTCTCAGCTTGCACGCTTTGATGACGTCAACTGTCATGCTGAAGAGGACCACAGCCAGTGGGCCCTCTCGGCCCAACAGCCTAGAAGGAACCAAGTACTTCTAACAACAACACGAGTAAGTTCAGAGATGAACCCTTCCTCAGCCCAACTTTTACAGACGACCGAGAGGTCTGAGGGACACTACGACGCAAAGACGAGTTAAGCTGTTCCTAGATTCCTGACGAAGAAAAGCTGTTCCATAGTAACTATGTATTACGTTAAGCTATTACAAGATAGAGTGATTTGTTATGTAGTAACAGAAAACCATACCTGTAATTACATTTCTTTACTAAGTTTCAGAGAAAAAAACGGCAGAATTTTGTGAATTCTGCTTCCTATTTTCCACTAGTAAATTCCAAATCCCATGAAAAGCCTGATTACTTTCCTTTAAGTCTCAAGATTTCTACCTCAACTTCAAAGACATCAACTTCAAAGTCTGCACAAGAAATTGAGTATAAAAAGTCCCACTTTGTAAAAATTTTCACGTATTGCCTTTTACCAGCAATGCCTTCCATGTTTCAAATTTTTAAAAATTAGGCACAAAAACACATACATACATACATCTCCTCTACCCCTTACTCTTTAAAAAAAGCAATGAATGTGCAGTACTATAATGCATTTCCTAATGATTAAAACAATTAATTGCAAGGTACAAAAAAAGGATAGAAATAACTTTAAAGAAAAAAAGTATTACAAATGCTATGATCACAAAACTAAAAGCAATCAAAAAGATACTAGCATACGTCACATCGGAAAAGAAGATAATTTTGCATTACTATGAAGTGAACAGACCTCTGTGTTTCAAAGATCATTTACCCCTATTCTCTCCTGAAATGCATCTGGGTTGCCAGTGTTTTACGGAGAACACGCACAGCAGCTGTCCTCAGCAGCTCACACACGGCCACAAAGCGACTGAAGAACGGTGCCAGCGACCAGCAGGCCCCGAGCGACGTTGTATGAACGGCATCGTCAAAGGCACGCTAGAACCACCACTACTACAGGGGGCACCCAGGGGAACATGCAGTCAGAACCAGGGTCTTAGACAAGCTGTAAATCATATATCATTTACATTTAATTTAATTTTAGTTGTGCCAAAAATACTACTTATTGCAGATAATTAGAATTATTCCCTACTTTGAGTTAACTGAAAATGATTGGTCATATTTATGTATGTTTTTAAATAGAGAACAATCAAAGAGAAAGTGAATACAGTTCTCAAAGGCTTCAAAAAATTCTTTCATGGGTACTTACGGAAAATGTATGCATTTCTGCTAACAGTGCCAACTCGTACGAAATAATCTGCTAAGACCAAAACTCCACAGCACAATAGCTTAATGTTATTTCATATATATTCATAAATAGCTTCTTGGTAAAAAAGATGAAACTCAAGGGTGCTGATACTAGTAATCTAATACCGACCAACCTTCTGCGAAAGCAGCAGCTCTCAAAAGTTTTATTCAGGGAATCAGGAATCTGAGATCCTTCGGAAGTCAAAACTACTTTCATAAAAATACTAAGACGCACAGCTTCTTCATGTGGACAGTGGAGTTCTCCAAAAGCTACAAGACTTGGGATATATATTTATATATTTAATGAAGAAACAAACAGAAGAACCCTGCTATTCTCTATTAATGTATATTGTAAAAAGATTTAAAGA